ATGGATAACACTCTTGGTCGGGCATCCTCGTCACGTCAAACCATGTGTTTCTGCGGCGTCCTGATCATGAAGGATCCTGTGGTCGCGTGGACCATAACTGTGTGTTTATGGGCCATGATCTCCTCTTCGGGTACAACACATGCTATGTGTCCGTTTTTCCTGCCCGCCATGGATAACATTCTTGGTCGGGCATCCTCGGCCCGTCAAACCATGTGTTTCTGCGGCGTCCTGATCATGAAGGATCCTGTGGTCGCGTGGACCATGACTGTGTGTTTGTTGGCCATGATCTCCTCCTCGGGTCGTACATTACATGCTCTGTGCCCGTGTCCGCCGCCCGCCATCGACAACACTCTTGGTCGGGCATTCTCGGCCCGTCAAACCATGTGTTGCTGCGGCGTCCTGATTGTGAAGGATCGTGTGGTGGCGTGGACCATGACTGTGTGTTTGTGGGTTGTGATCTCCTCGTCGGGTCATACAACACATACTCTGTGTCCGTGTCCGCCGCCTGCCTGGACAACACTCTTGGTCGGGCATCCTCGGCCCGTCAAACCATGTGTTGCTGCGGCGTCCTGATCTTAAAGGATCCTGTGGTCGAATGGACCATGACTGTGTGTTTGTAGGTTATGATCTCCTCGTCTGGTCATACAGCACATGCTCTATGTTCGTGTCCGTCGCCCGCCATGGACAACACTTTTGGTCAGGCATCCTCGGGCCGTCAAACCATGTGTTGCTGCAGCGTCCTGATCATGAAGGATCCTGTGGTCGCTTGGATAGTGACTGTGAGTTTGTGGGGCATGATCTCCTCGTCGAGTCATACAACACATGCTCTGTGTCAATGTCCGCCGCAGGCCCTGGACAACATTCTTGGTCGGGCATCCTCGAGCCGTCAAACCATGTGTTGCTGCGGGGTCCTTATCATGAAGGATCCTGTGGTCGCGTGGACCATGACTGTGTGTTTGTGGGTCATGATCTCCTCGTCGGGTCATACAACACATGTTCTGTGTCCGTGTGCGCCGCACGCCATTGGCCAAACTCTTCAGCGGGCATCCTCGGGCCGTCAAACCATCTGTTGCTGCGGCGTCCT